GCTATAAAGGTGTAAGATTATATATTCAGTATGATTCAAGTATGTAAAATAAAATGTATATGAGAGACTGGATGGAAATTTAAAAAAATGATAGATACCATCAGAGTGACAATACAGACAATTTTACATACTTTCTTATTTATATTTTCCCATATATTCTTAATTTCTATAATAAATGTGTGAGAGTTTAAAACAGGACAATTATCATTAGTTAAAATGCAAAATGTAGTAGGATTGTTTTTTTCTTCTCTCGTATGTTATGATACTTTTTTCAAAGACAAAAATTCCTACAAAAATACAAGAATAATTTTTCTCTTGTATGTTCTGATAATTTTTTTCAAAGACAAAAATTATAATTAAGTTAGGTGCTATTAACATGAATTTTTATACTCCTTATTATCTCATAAACATATATCGCAGAGAAGCAGTTTGTACTAAAACCAAAAGACTAGGCAATTTGAGGCTATACCTGGTAGTATAGATCATTAAGGAAATCATAAAGATATTCATTGTAGAGTTCCACATTGCTATCCAAAGAGGTTGAGGTTTCTCATGACATAACCAGTGAGTAGTAAAGCCTCTAAATATTCAAATAGAAGTGGTTTTGCATGACCTTCCAAATGCAGTTGCGTATATAATACATCAATTGTACTTTAGTCATATTAGACAAAATGTACACTTGGAAATGCTACAGTAGCAGTAAGAGGCATTGGAGGTATGGGAAACTGTGCATTTATTCACTTAATCTTGCACTTTTCTAAGGAACATATTCATAATCCTCTGCTCCAGCTACTGTGTTGTTGATTGGAACTGGAGTCCCTATTTATTTTGTTGTTGTTATTGTTGTTGTTAATCCTCCCTCGAGGATACTTTTCCATTATTATTTTTTTTTTTTTAGAGAGAGGGGAAGAGAGGGGGAGAGACAGAGATATAGAAACATTGATGTGAGATAAACACATCAATTGCTTGCCTCTCACACACGCCCTGACTGGGGCCAGGTATTGAGCCTGCAACCCAGTAACATGCCCTTGACCAGAATTGAACTAGGACCCTTCAGTCTGTGTGCCTACACTCTATCCACTGAGCCAAACCAGCTAGGGATAGAGTCCTTATTTCTTCTGACTACCCTTATCTACACTAATAAAAGAGAAACATGGTAATTAGCATACGACCGCTACCCTTTTCATTGGCTAATCAGTGAGTATATGCAAATTAACTGTCAGCCAAGATGGCGGCAGGCAGCCAGGTAGCTGAGAACAGGATGCTTGGTTGCCCCAGCAATAGAGGAAACCAAGGTTCCCGCATGCAGCTGCGGGGCTCTGAGCTCCTGAAGCAACAGCTCCAAAAGATACAATGTTTCAATTATAGAAGCTAAAAGATGGCGGTTAATCTGCATACTCAGGCTCCAAG